CAATTTTTGTTTTTCAAAACACCATTAAGGGGGTAAAAGGGCCGAGGAGATGGCTCAGTGGAATAAGTGCTTCCTTGGCAAGCGCAAGGGCCTGAGTTCAATCCCCGGTTCTGCCAAAAAAAAAAAAAAAAAAGGGGTGAAAAAGCCTCAACCTGCAGGAGGTTATGGATCATAAAGATCGAGATACATCCTACTTGAAGAACGTCCCCGATTTGCGAAGATCAACAACCTAGAGGAACCACAGGCAAAGATAAGAACCAAGTGGGCTTCTCCCTGATAACTGGAAGCGAGAAATGCCCGCCCCAGGGCGGCGGCCAGGCCCAGAGAAAGGAACCAGCGCTTCAGTGGGAGGCTCAGCTTCTGCCCCCAGCTCTGCGGCACCCTGCCCTGGTGGGAGCAGAAGGCAGTCCTGGCGGCCTTCTCACCTTCCCGGGCTCTCACTTGCTGTGCGCCCGAGGCCGAAACCGGAAGTGCTGTTGAGCACGGTAAGAATAGCTGGATGTCGGGAATTGCCCTCAGCATCTGTCGAGCAGAGAATGAGGCGCACGCGCACCAGGAAATGGTGGTAGCAGAGTGAATGACTGTGCTGTAGCTCCGCACGAGGAGCCCAAAGGATTTCAGGAAAATAATCCTCAGTGAAAAGAAGCAATTCAGAGCCCACCAGCATGGCGCGCTCCGGAGGCTGAGGCAGGAGGGCGGCCGTGAGTTCGAGGCCAGCCCGGACTACAGAGTAAGCGCAAGGTCAGTCTGGGAGACTACATAGTGAAATTCTATCTAAAAAAGAAAAGAAAAGCAATTCATAGCATATGCACAGTGTGGCGGTGCATGCGTGTAACCCACTGAGCAGGAGACAGAAGGACTAATGCAAGTTTAAGGCCAACCTGGGCTACATTCTGTGCCCTTGTCTTAAAAAACACACCAAACCAAACTGCAAACAAGCTGTGCATGGTGATGCCTACCTGTAATTCTAATATTCTGCGAAGCTGATGCAGGAGGATCTCAGGCAAGAGGATCTGAGCCTAGCTGAGGCAAGTCTGTGACTTAGACCTCCGTCTTACAATTTAAAACTCAAAATAGGAGGAATGAGATGTAACTCAGTATGAAGGCCCTGGGTTTAGTGCACACCACACATGCACACACACGCATACACGCACACAGACACACACGCGCGTGCACGCACACACTCCTCAAGCAGAAGATAATACAGTGTAGTGGTGTAGTGTGTACCTCTGAGGGGAGAAAGGGAAGAAAGGAAACACAATAAAAGGTAGATATACACAAACGTGTGTCAGTATTCCAGACATATTTCAGGTATTTTTTTTCAGATTTTTAAACACTTTTTAAAAAAGTTTTTAATGTATTTGGTTCAGTGCTCACTACGTGCAGTTTGGACTTGTAGTGACCCTCCTGTTTTGAGCCTTCCCAGCGCTGGGATTAGAGGCGTGCACC